TTCCTCCTGCTCCCCCCCCCCCGCCCAGAAGTGGCCAGAAAGCCCGGAACTGGGATATAAATCCCAGAGACGCCATCTTGGACTTTTAAAATCTGATTTTAAACTTTTTATCTGAACTCTGCCTGTGATGAGAATTTCATGGCTTTTTTACATTCGTTTGTGGCTACATGCCTTTTGACGTATATCACGCTCAGAGCCCTGCCTAACAGGGATGGGGCGATTAATAAATCAAATTAATGATGATGGGTTTAAATTATAGGCAGGGAGATAACCAGCTGGATTTTTGGATCCCCCCCCCCGAAGGAAAAAAGAAAAGAATATGTTTGGGAGTGGAACCAGCTGCCTAGGGCGGTGGTGAGCTCCCCCTCGCTGGCAATCTTTCAAGCAAGAGCTGGACGAACACTTGTCACAGATGCTTAAAGCTGACCCTGCACTGAGCTAGGAGTTAGGACTAGATCAGGGGTGGCCAAACTGTGGCTCTTTCACATATGTATTGTGTGGCTCCCGGCAGGGTGGCTGGGGAAGCCATGGGGAAGCATGCCTCCCCGGTCGGTCTTCCCTTCTACAGCCAGTGTTCCCCTCCCTGGGTAGGCTTGTGGTGTGTGTGGGGGAGCAGAGAAAGAAAGCAACTTTAAATGCATTCTCAAAGCCCCCCCCCCCCAGCCTACAAGTATCATTGGATAAGTAAACATCATTATCAATATCTGTGTTTACCCATTTTATTTTTATTTTTGGCAGTCTCATTTAATGTTAATAAAAAGCAAATCTGCGTATTTGTCAGTAAAAACGTGTGTGTGATATTTGTTCACATCTGGCGGCTCTCAAACATCTGATGCTTATTCTATGTGGCTCCTATGTTAAGCAAGTCTGGCCACCCCTGAACTAAATGGCCTGTATGGCCTCTTCCAACTCTACAATTCTCTGGTCCGAGGTGGTGTGTTCAAAGGCACATCATTTATCCCTTGGTTCAGCGGCTGGGTTCTCTTGCAGAGCATACCTGATAATGCTAGTCTACAAACACTCACCTTTTCTCAGGGCTTGCGAAACTGAACAGGTTCCCTCCCAGCTCCAGATCTTTTCTCGAAAAGGCGAGAAGCAAAACCTGCCATGTACTAAACATTGCTACAAATTTATTACAGATTTTGTTTTTCAAGTACATTTTGAAAAGTTAACAACCACTTCTGCTTTTTTTAAAGAAACATGTGAATACAAATTTAACACAAAAACCATACACCCCAGGTGGCAATGCAGTGAGTACGAAGGGTCAGGGGAATGGGGAAGAAAAGCAGGAGTGAAGAGAAGCAGAGAGAAAGAGAAGCAGAGTCGGTCCTTTGCACTTGGGAGCTGTGGCAGTGGTTATTCCAGCCACGGGAGGTTCAGAGAGCCGCCCAACAGCAACAAACTGGCCCCATAGCACCTCTGCTTACAAATATAGTTATTTTGCTAGAAAAGGGGCCAGGCTTTACGGCCCAGTCTCCTGGGGCAGTTTGATGGAAAGGGAGCTCCCCGGCTCTGCTGTCAGGAGATAAATATCGAAGTGGAGAAAATTCGGTTTGGGAGAACCTGATGCTCTTTTACTGAGATGCCCCCCACCCACCCCGAGGACAAACTGATATGAGGTGGCCTTTGGGCTGGGCTGCCTGCTCCCAGACAGCTCCCAGGGGTTCTGCCGCCTCCCAGAGATCAGGGAGCCAATTAGTAGAGAAAACCAGCTGAGGGACCCGGGATAAGAGGTGCAAAGAGGTTTAACTTGCCCATTGTGCTGGAGGACTAGATTCTCCTCCTGCCCTGAAGGAGTGACGCTTTTTAATGAATCAACAGCCCTTTCCGAGGGCAAGGGGACTGGAGGCTCCAATCCAAGGCTCTGACCGTTAAGTGAAACAGAGGGCTTCCACACTTTGGCAGGGTAAGCCTTTGACAAAAGAACAGCCAAGGGCAGTGTAGTGCCAGGGCTGCCAAGGAGAGCGCCGAGACCGCTGCGAGCCAGTGAGCAAGCGGGCAGAAGGCCTAGGAACCCGCCCCCCACCCGACCCATCAGGGGCCAGCACCTTCTCTCCTTTTTTGGGAGGGCCTAAGGGGAAAATGCCACCCCCCCCCCCCGCACAGTGATGGGAGAAGCCCGGGGCAGGCTTGGGAACCCCACCCCCGTAGTTAGTTGCCATGCTCCAGAAGAACCACCCCTGCCCCCCAGCACAGCTCTAAGCAGGCTCGCCCTCTGAGAGGCCGGGCCAGTCCTGCCCCCCAGCGGTGTATCAGACAGGAGGCAAGCCTGGAAGCTGACAGCTCACTGGCTTGGCTGGCAGGCAGGGAAGGCAGGCTGGGGGAAGGATTACAGCAGCTGGCACGGGTTCTTCTTACGCCCACGCTTGGCCTGCAAGGCAGCCCGGGTGGCCATCTCGAACACTTCCCGTACTCCGTCCTTTGTCTTGGCAGAGCATTCCAGGTATCCAAAAGCACTAATCCTGTTGGCCATGTCGCGGCCCTCCTCTGGCTTCACCGGCTCCTGAAGGGGAAAGAGGCAGTGAGTTCAGACAGACTCAGGGCTATTTTTGGGCAGGAACGCACAGGAACGGAGTTCCGGCTGGCTCCCAAGTTGGCCACACCCAGCAGGAACTCATTAGCATAATAGGCCACATCCAACAGCAGAAACTCATTTGGATTGGCTACAATTAGGTGTGTGTGGCCTAACATGCAAAAAGCCCTGGGTTTTGACAACAAACAAGGTAAAGAGAATAAGAAGCAAAAGGTGGGTGTGGCTGGATGACCACACTTCTGGCAACA